TTTACACCTAGTAAATAATGAGGTGATCCCATATTTTTCAAGGAGAGTTTTGAGATAGAGTATTGATGAGGTTGAAGAGACATGAATTGTCATTCTCATGTAGAAATAGATCATCAACATCAACAATAAAGTATTCATTTATTCCATTTGAATAATTAGAATGATGGATCACTCTTGCTTATTTGAAACCCATTACTAACTGTTGTGAATCGGATACCTTTAAACAAAGTATAAACGGTTTCTTAGCAAGAAACACACAAGGGTTAGGGTTAATAAAGAAGAAAACAACAAGGATTGGTTATTAAGCTGTTATTCTTTCCTTTCTCTTAGAATAAGATTACAAGTATACAAGAATAACAAAATAACCTCTCTCTCTCTCTCTCTCTTGAAATTAGGATTTTATCTTCCTATTTTTCCTTATTTCAAGATTGAGAAACTAACATCCTATTTATAATAAAATAGCACACTAACCTAATGAGCTTTTTAACAATTACCCATTACAAGCCAACTTATGGTACAAGCTAACTTAAACACTTGGGTTTACAAGCAAGGCAAAATTCAACATGCTAACAACCTTAGCAATACTGACTAATGCATGTTAGAACAGACTTCGACTACAACACGCATTACTCGCGAACTGACTTTGACTATACTAGAGTTCGATCCAACATCTCACAAATCTCCACCTTGGATCTAACTCTATAACATCAAGAAACTAACTTTCTTCATGCAGCTTTATTGACTGCATATAGTGGAAAAACTTGCAACAGGGTAACGTCTTTTCTTTTTCCGTTAACGCAGCGTCCATGGCTGCCTCACCCTTCAACGCTTCCAAACAACCCTGCTGAACCAACAGGGCTTTCATCTTCAAGCGCCACAGACCGAAGTCGTTCACTCCGGTGAACTTTTCAATTTCATACTTTGTTGAAGGCATCTTTTCCACGCTCACCGCACCAATTTGTTGTGAATCGGATACCTTTAAATAAAGTATAAACGATTTCTTAGCAAGAAACACACAAGGGTTAGGGTTAATAAAGAAGAAAACAACAAGGATTGGTTATTAAGCTGCTATTCTTTCCTTTCTCTTAGAACAAGATTACACGTATACAAGAATAACAAAATAACCTCTCTCTCTTGAAATTAGGATTTTATCTTCCTATTTTTCCTTATTTCAAGATTGAGAAACTAGCATCCTATTTATAATAAAATAGCACACTAACCTAATGAGCTTTTTAACAATTACCCATTACAAGCCAACTTAGGGTACAAGATAACTTAAACAATTGGACTTACAAGCAAGGCCCAATACAACATGCTAACAACCCTAGCAATATTGACTAATGCATGTTAGAACAGACTTCGACTACAACACGCATTACTCGCGAACAGACTTCGACTATACTAGAGTTCGATCCAACATCTCACACTAACAATACGATGATTCAGTGCATCATGTTAAACACAAGGTATCTCGAAGTCCATACATGGTTTTGTGAAATGTGCGTACACAATATTTATCGTCTTTAAGGCCTATAAGTTATGACATGTAAGTTTGTCCATTTAAAGGGCCTTGAAGAAAGACATTGTTGATATCCAACTTGTACACCTTCCACCGATATCTATTTGGACGATTTTATTTGTTTATGGTTAAAGATTGATGCAAATGTTTCCTCGTATTCAACCCAAGACACAATGTGAATCCTTTAGCTACAATATTTGCTTTATAACAAGTAAATTTATCATTTACCCCTAACACTACATTTGATATGAAACGACTATTTATATCTTATTATGTTCGTGTTCAAGTGACCACATAATAAAATAATGTTTCCTTTGAGATATGTGATGGTGGGTTAATTGAAACATTTAATTATGAAGAATGTTGTTAATAGTCCCACTTCATAAAAATACGTGACTTGAACATATGTTTATAAGTGGGGAGACCTTCACCTTACAAACTCGTTTTGTACTGTTATTTTAGACCTAACCATAATTATGAGATGGTATCAAAACATAGTTCAAGATCCGTTAAAGCATCTTCTATCAGATTTCCTCTACCGGATTACCCGTCATTTATATTTACGCACCAAGTCCAATAGTGATGGGTGTGAGATGGTATGTTAAAAGTCTCACATACATAAAATGTGGCTCAGACATATATTTATAAGCAGGGATGACCCTCACCTTACAATCCAACTTTGTAAGATTATGTTAGAATAAACCATAATTATAGGAAATGTTGAATAAACTTAAAGTATACATGGTGAAATACGTGTAATGAAGGGACCTTAATGAGTAAGCGGTGGTTGTGGCAGGGATGTGCTTTTGGTGAGGATGAAGTATAATTTGGTGATGGAATTTTGGCAAGTTGAAAAGATGACATGGTACGTGGTTGTTGGGTAACGTTACTTAGTACATGGTTGAATGTTGAAGTGTAGTTAATGTGTTCAATGTATTGAAAAACATGGTAAAAAATGACATGTCGAGAGGTATACATTTTTTGTGATATGAAGGGTTAAGGAAATGATATGCATATCGAGATTTGACATAACCTATAAAGATGCATGTTTTGGAGTATATGTGAAGTGCATGAGGTTGTTTATGGAAAAAAATCAATAAAAGCATAAAAAGCTAACAACATTAAAGTGCAGAAGAATTGGATTGGTTTGGTGTAAAAGTTGGAATGGTAATTTCATGTTAAGGACAATGGTTGAAGTTTGTTTATAAATTGAACTACAATATGAAAGGTATAGCTCTAGAAGCATTAAGATAATTTGGATGTATAAAGGATAACTTTGCATGTATCAACTATATGTTTGTATCTTTTCGGAAATTTAGTTCAAGTGATAACTTTACATGTCTTGGCTATGTGTCTACGTCTTCTCCCTTAAAAAAATTTAATTTTTAAAACTCTCCTCCATTATTGGCGAGATTCACATTTGTAGCTTTGTGATTTTCTTTTAAATGTTGCATACACTAAGACAATAATGAGATTATTTCAGTTGTATGTTGTGTGTCCATCTCTTTGAAGATAGGTTTCAATGTATGGGAGAGTAATTGAATTTTCTCTTATGTGAACACCAATAGAGATATCACAATATTTTGAATCTAGATCATTTAAAGTATGAATGTCCAACTCCACATCATCTCACAACAAGTTATTAATATGAAAAAAATTTGAGTTTCAGTTAGTTAAAGATAAAACCTCATCTCAAGACAAGTTAATGATGGCTAACTATTGAAAAAAAATTCAAATCTCTTATTGATTAAAGATAAAAATTCTTGAAAGAGTTTATGAAAAGTGATGCTCCTTATTTTACAAGTTGATTTTGTAGGGGTGCGTTAGGTCAGATTCAAATTATATGATATTATAGCCTATTGATTCAGACTACTGACCATTTGTATTCACGAACCAAGCCAAATAGTGATAGGTGTGCTGGGTTGTATTGAAAAAAAAAAAATCAAATTTCACATTTCGATGATTCAGACTATATACTGTTTATACTAGGTGTTAGAAGTTGTTTTAGAAACAAATTAAATTCTCACATATAGATGATTTAGACTATCCACTATTTATGGTCAATTCTTTCAAAATAAAAATATGAAAATAAGACATATAATTCTTGACATCCCTTTAAATTATTCAAATATTCGGAGAAACAATTATAATTAATATTATTTTCATTAATAAAAAATACAATTTTATATTTTATATCAAATATCATAGACAAATATTCTATTTGTTTATTATCGGATAAATATATTGTTTTATTTTTCTTTTGAGTAGAATTTTTTTTCTGTATCTAGTAAAGAAAGTCTTTTCTTGTGTTTTATATAAATAAAATAGGATGCCAAGTATTCTAAGTCAAACTATTGCAATTAGAAATTCCCAAAACTACCATAGGAGCTGAATTAACTGAGATTAATTTTATCTACGGCAAATATTAAAATCAATATTTGCATAAATATAACATAATTGGGGTTAAATATTTTTAAAAAATCAGCAATTATACACGGAAAATAAATTAAATACCAATAGTAATTGCATGTTTTTAAGGCAGGTATATACATTTTAAGAAAAATATGAATATCATAATTAATTACTTCATGTTTTTTATTAATTTGAAAATTTCACCTAATGTAATACTTATCATAATTTCATCTCCCCATCACCATTGCATATGAAGATTACAATGCTATAAATTGCTATACATACCAAACATTGTATCACACATGAGGCTTGGGGGTATCTTTCAGAACTATTAATTTTGTTATTAGGTCTGAGTTTGCTTTGCACTTAATTGTTTGAAATTTTTTCCAGCTTCTTACTAAAGAGGTGAATCATCAACATCTAATACCTTTTGTTTTTTACTTCAAAGTAGTTTAATAGTATAGTAGAATCATATTCACGGTTCTTTTATTTTTCATGTGTTAATATTCTCATCTAAATTATGTGTGAAAAGAAAATTGTTACAGTAATTGTGAAGATTATAATTTGTCGACAGAGTGATTCACATTATTATTAAGTATAATTCATGCGTCTTATCATGCATTATGCACAGTGTTGAGACCTCGTTGCACTATACATCACATTCACACGTCGTTTTTCATTAAAATAAAAATCCATATATTGACAAATAAAACATAGAGTATATATTTTTTTAAAACCGATGATTTAGGTTAATCTTCTACAACTGCGATTGAAAGGTGCAGATGGTGCGGAAATTGGTGGTGTAAACAAATGAAAAGAATTTCATATTATTTTTTGAAGAAATGAATCCTAATTCAGGAATAGTACTCTTTTTCACAATTTGTCAAAAGTTAAGGTCACTTGTAACCAAAGCATTCTCTTGACTTTACTTGACTTTATATCTTATGCTACAATTATTAAAGTAATTGAATTATTAACTATGCGTATTACTATGGAGTAAAAAGAATAATTATCGTCAAAAGTGGTTGTAACGGTTTCATCTCTCCTGCGACAGTTATTTTAGGGAACTATGAGTTTCCTGAACGGTTCTTCACCGCGCCGGAATCCGGCGGAGAATATTGATATTGAAGCTGGTCCGTTGTCTCGCCGTTCTTCGGATATTGATGATGACGGTGATATTTCCGATCCGTTTGATATTGCTACAACAAAGCACGCTTCTATTATTCGACTGAAACGCTGGAGAGTACGTTTTCTGTTTTTCTCATGCTCTTAGATGCTGTTGTTGAGTTTATCTGTGGTTTGGTTAGTTTATCTCTATCTGTATGTTTGTTTTTGAAGTGTTTGTGAACTGGATACACTGATTGCTGTTGATATTTCTATTTAGGGCAGATTTAGGGTTTATGAGAGTGGTTTTTGCATGCTGTGTTTGAAATTCATTGCTTAGGGATTTAGTTTTTGTTTATATGTGTATTGAGGAAATAGTGTTGGTTTTGGATAAGGATTTTGGTTGTTGTTGAGGATGGAGTGAGTTAATGGCCGGAGGATGAGGAAGTTAATGGTTTTTGGATTTTGTCTTCATTTATGAGAAGTGTTTTTAGTTTACATTTTGTTTGTTGCAAAATTTTGTTGAAATTACTTCTTGCATTGCATGATGACTATGGAGTGTGGTTTCTATAATAGCCTCAGTATATTGTGATTCTTTGATCTTTTTAGGAACATGTAGGAAGGGAAAAGGAAAAGAGATTCTTAGAACACTAGAAAGATAGAGTTACAGCTTACTTGTTCTGGTTGTTATCACATTTAGGAATAGTGGTGTGGATTAGGGTTTTATTTCATTATTATATAGTGGAAACTGATTAGGGGTCCATCATGTGTACTTCTGTTCCTTTTTGTATTGGAGATTTGGAGTACAAGTTTTAGCTTTCAAGTAGCTGATTGTTGTACTAGTTCATATACAATTTTGATTGGAGTTGTGGTGACTCGAATTCCATGTTTGTTTCAATGGAGAACAACATTATCCTTCCTTTTACAAATTGTGTTGGTTGGAAACCACCCTGCCTGATTTGGTCAGTGGGTGGAAATAAAAGAGGCAGTACTTTGTCTTAAGTTGAAGTAGAGTAAATGTTGTGTGTTCTGTGGCAATGTTGCTGCTGCAAAATAACAAAAATTTATCAGTGTCATGAATCCTCTAGCATTTTTTTTCTAGTAAAATTTTCTCTTCTTTCTGCTGTACAAATGTTGTTTTCTTATTTACTTCATTCAGACAATAACTAGTTTCATACTTTCATTTGATTATTCTGTATTTCTAAATTCTAATACTGACATGGGAGCAATCCCTTGTGTCTTCAGCAAGCAGCGCTTGTACTAAATGCTTCCCGTCGATTTCGTTATACCTTGGATTTGAAAAAAGAAGAAGAGAAGAAACAAATACTGAGAAAGATTAGAGCGCATGCACAAGCCATTAGAGTACAGTTCCTTCATTGGACTTTTTTTGTTATGTTTATGTTGCGTATGTGTAGTGCACTACTTATTCATTTTGTCTTAACAGGCAGCATATCTTTTCAAAGCAGCTGGGGGGCAAGGGCAGGGGCAGGGACAAGGGCAAGGAGAATTGAGTGGTGAGTAATTTGATGTTGTTCATTGTTATTTGTAAATATCTCTGTTATTGTTTGGAGTAATTTAGTCATTCTGAAACCAATGCTATTATCTCTTTTATTTGCAAACATTTTATGCTTATGAATTATTGGTCTGTTTGACTAGATGAAGTTTGAGAGGAAAAGAGAATTCGAGAGAGAAATATTATGATAATTGGATTTTCATCATCTAACTTTATGTTAATGAAATAGTAATTATTGTACTAAGCAGTTGCCAATGTTGACTAAACTGAATTGCAACTACTCTCATGACTAACTGACAGCGACTTAGCAACTGCTTATAACCCTTTGTAACACTGACACTCTAGGTTGAAGGTGTGCTTGACACGTGTCGAAAGCCCAACACTCGTACGAGACTTACACGTGATTACATTCAATCACTTCTATTATCTCTCTTAGTATTACCTTATTATTACCCATGTCGGTGGTTGTTAGGAAGACTCTTATCAACTTCAGTGATCAGAGACTTTGTGTGGAAGTACTTATACTGTTATCCTTCCCCTCTCAAACTCAGAGTGGCGTGATGATGGTATCACCATGAGTACAAATAGACTGAACCAGAGTGAACAGAGGCTTGGGGAGTGAGAACATCTGCAAGTTGATAATATGCTGTCAGTACAGCCGTACAGGACAATGAGGGACTTGGCTAGAGCTCCTTCTCGAACAAAGTAAAAGTCTAGCACCATGTGTTTTGTCCTTGAGTGAAGCACCAAGCTGTATATATTGATTGCAGCTCTACTTTGATTGTCACAGTAAGCTACAAGAGTTGTGCACTAAATTTTCAATTCAGAAATAAGAGACTGAATTCCAATGAGTTCTATGGCCATGAGAGCAAGACTACGAAACTCTTCTTTGAACAAGAATGAATTTCATTGTTTTGTTTCCGTGCTTACAAAGACACCAAGTTTGTGCCTAAGAAAATGCAAAAGCCTGAGTTTGAGTGTCTGCCTCTGCCCTCAATGTTAGAGGCCCAATAGTATCACGTAATGTGTTTTAATAATTTTCCAGTGATCCAAACAAGTGGCACACTTTTTTCTGCATTAAGTATACTTTCATTTTGTGATACTTGCTTCATGGACTTGCCCTGGTATATTACATTGGTTCAGTATAGATAACTTCATAAACTCTTTTTGTCTTTCCTTACTCAATATTAATAATCAATTACTTTAACTGTTAGAAACTACAAAACCTCTTCAAACCTCAACTGGTGAATTTCCAATTGGACCTGAGCAACTAGCATCCATTTCAAGGGAGCACGATATTGCCTCATTGCAGCAATATGGAGGGGTATGTTTGCCAAGAATAAAATTTTAAACTGGGTAATATTATCAATGGAAGTCATAAATTTAATGATTTTTCTTTCTGAATTACTATCAGGTTGCAGGGGTATCAAATTTATTGAAAACCGATTTAGAGAAGGGAGTTGATGGTGATGATGCTGACTTACTAAGACGGAGGAACGCATTTGGTTCCAACAATTACCCTCGAAAGAAAGGAAGAAGTTTTCTGGTAACTTCTATTGTTCTTGGACTATTGGAATCATAAGTGTTTTATGGTTATATGGTATAACTCAGACTTGGTAAACTAGTTAAACTGGTCCGTTCAAAGCATAACTAGTTATTTTTGGGGGGTTGGGTTACATTACATATATTAACCTGCTTAACTGCGGGTGAGAACTGGAACGAGTTAACTTGTTTATTTTTTTTATCGAACTTCTTAATATCAAACTTCTAAGACCAACTCCAAATACAATTTTTCATTGTTTTATATTCCTAATCCCATTCACTTTTATTACCTCAACATGTTCATCTTTTTTCTATTTAATTTCTTTGGTTTCTATTTTTTTTTTTTTTAATATTTGGGCAGGTTGACTGTCCAACCCGCCGGGGTTGATGATTTTATCAATTTATTTTTAAATAAGGTCAACCTGCCAATTTTTATGGGTTGGTGGTGATGGGGCCGAGGGCGAGTTAACTTGCATTGCAGCAACCTCATTATGTTTTACCCGGGGGAATATTGCAGTGACTTCTTTGTTTTTGATGCCTTAACAGATGTTTATGTGGGATGCTTGCAAGGATCTGACCTTGGTTATTTTAATGGTAGCTGCAGCAGCTTCATTGGCACTAGGAATAAAGTCTGAGGTGAGAGTGGCTAATAAAGTTATGGCGCAATTCTGTACATTTTGTTGGTTGCCAACTGTGACTGTGTCCTTCCATTTGTAATTTAGGATAAGTAGTATATTTAATTAATTTTGAAATTTTTTCATACCATTCATAAATATTTCTGTTGCAGGGTATTAAGGAAGGATGGTATGATGGGGGAAGCATTGCGTTTGCAGTTATTCTTGTTATTGTTGTTACAGGTATCATATTATCTTTTTGGGGTACTAAGATTTAAAATGGATGGAACATGGACTCGGATCCCTTAAAACGAGCCTTAATTTTAGAGGGGAAAATAATACAATTCAGCTGTTGATGACAATCTCAATAATCGAAAATTTCAATACACATGTGGAACAAATCATTGAACTGTTGAAATATCAAAAGTTGGTTTTCTTATCAGGTTTAGATGTTTTTCTTTCCTCTCAAATTTGAATAATAAATCATTTGAGAGGTGTCAAATTCGTAATGCATAAAAGTTGTTTTTTATTACAAATTTTAGACTGTTTTGTACTTTCCTATGAGGTCTTTGGTGATGCAACTTGTTCATGATCCACTGCCCACTTTGTCCATGTAGAACTTGTCAATAATTTCTCCGTTGAACAGCCCTCACCCAATTTCATTAATTTGTTTTTGAAATGACAAGTGTTGTTATTTATGTTAGTGAGGGAGTTAAACACACGGCCTCCTTATCACTCTAATCTTTATGTTCCCCCCTAAATCACCAAGCCACCTTATCACTCTAATTTCATTAATCATATCTCCTTCATTTTGCAGCTGTAAGTGATTATAAGCAGTCTCTTCAGTTTCGAGACCTAAATGAAGAGAAGAGAAATATACACTTGGAGGTTTGCTTTTTTTTATTTTTTATAGATTGTTATTTTTTTGGATGTTTGATATGACTTTTTAATGTTCATGTTATATTTTACTAACAATTTTCTTGTCACATTTTTAACCATGTCTGAATTTGTGCTTGGGAAGGTTGTTAGAGGTGGTAGAAGGGTTGAGATCTCAATATATGATCTTGTTGTTGGGGATGTTATTCCTCTTAATATTGGTAACCAGGTACTTGATCTTGGTCATTTGTTGTTTTGCTTTCTATACTAAACGATTAGATTTCCTTTTTGTTATTAAATTTTTTGTTCTTTCCAGGTCCCTGCTGATGGAATTGTGATCAGTGGTCACTCTCTTTCCATTGATGAATCAAGCATGACAGGGGAGAGCAAAATTGTTAGTACTTCTTTCAATATTGTCAGAATTTTAGAATATTGCTTTATTGTAATTATAGAAATATGCTTTTTCTATATTGTTTATTCTGTAACATAGTACATGAGTATTTATAGAATATAAATTACACTAAGAAATAGGGGTAATTATTCTCCCTATAAATGCTAATCCTAAATAAGGTAAGAATATAATAATACAATTAATTTCTATTTAATGACAATTTGAATCCAGCCATAATGAGCTGTATGACAGAATCTGTTTTGATTTTGTGCTAATATTCAACACTCCCCCTCAAGCTGGCATGAATATATCGTTCATAGCAAGCTTGCACACCATGTTATCAAACAGTCTCTTTGGAAGACTCTTTGTGAGAACATCTGCTACTTGACTTTTGGTAGGTATGTAGGACATACAAATCTCACCGCTGTCAATTTTTTCTTTGATGAAATGCTTGTCCACTTCAACATGCTTCGTCCTGTCATGTAGGACAGGATTATGGGCAATAGAAATAGCAGCCTTATTATCGCAGTAAACTTTAATTGGAGTTGGGCCAAAGAACTTCAATTCTTCCATGAACTTTTTGATCCATAATACTTCACAAAAACCATGGGCCACAGATCGGAATTCAGCTTCTGCACTGCTCCTGGCTACAACATTTTGTTTTTTGCTCCTCCATGTAACTAGATTTCCACCTACAAAAGTACAATATCCTGAGGTAGACCTTCTATCATTTATATTACCTGCCCAATCAGCATCTGTATAGGCTTCAACCTGTATATGTCCTCTATTTCTGAATATCAGCCCCTTTCCCGGAGTACCTTTCAAATATCTTAATATTCTGAAAATAGCTTCAAAGTGGGCTGCACCTGGTGCATGCATAAATTGGCTTATTACACTCACTGCAAAGGCTATATCTGGCCTTGTATGTGACAAATAAATTAGTCTTCCAGCCAATCGTTGATAACGTTCTTTATCTACTATTTCATCTTCAGCAACTGACTTTAGTTTCACATTGGGATCCATTGGTGTTTCTACTGCTTTAGACCCTGTCATCCCTGTTTCTGCAAGTAAATCGAGTATGTACTTGCGCTGGTTGAGAAAAATACCTTCTTTAGATCTTGCGAACTCCATCCCAAGAAAGTATTTTAACTTTCCAAGATCCTTGATATCGAACTCAGCCTCAAGTCTTCTCTTCAGATCACTAATTGCTTTGACGTCATCTCCTGTAATAATAATGTCATCAACATACACTATTAAGATAGCAATCTTACCTTCAGATGAGTGTTTAAAGAACATAGTGTGATCTGCTTGACTTTGGGTGAAACCGTGTCTCTTAACAACACTTCCAAATCTCTCAAACCAGGCCCTTGGCGATTGTTTCAATCCATATAGGGATTTTCTCAATCTGCATACTTTGTTTCTTCCAAGATTTTTTTCAAATCCAGGAGGTAAACTCATATATACTTCTTCATGTAATTCACCATTCAAGAAGGCATTTTTAACATCATATTGATATAGTGTCCAGTTGAAATTTACTGCAAGAGAAAGAAGAATTCTGATAGAATTGATCTTAGCAACTGGGGCAAAAGTCTCTTGGTAATCAATACCATGAGTTTGAGTAAATCCTTTTGCTACTAATCTCGCTTTGTATCTTTCCACACTTCCATCAGCCTTGCATTTCACTGTAAAGACCCACTTACACCCTACTGCCTTTTTATCTTGTGGTAGATCAGTGATACTCCAAGTGTTATTTTTGTTTAGAGCATCCATCTCTTCTTTCACTGCTAATTTCCAATTCGGATCACTTAATGCTTCCTGAATAGTTCTGGGCACAAACAAATTAGAAATCCTAGACACATATGCCTTATGGGTGTGTGATAGTTTGTCATATGACAAGTAATTAGACATAGGATGTTTAGTGCACATACGAGAACCTTTCCTCTCAGCAATTGGGACATCGAGGTCAGGAATATTTTTTCTCACAGAAATTGGAAGATTAATATCAGGAAAAGACAAATCAGATAAATCATTGGATGAGTAAGAAGGATTACCAGATGAAGAACTAGAAGACAGATTATCTGTAGGACCTTCACTTGGTAAATCAGATTGGATTTCTACTGGAGAGACAATAGGGTTTGCACCACCTTTGTGGAATTTTTTTCGAACATACACTTTAAGTTCAGGATTATCATCCTTAATCAGTGTTTCTCCCCCTGTTTCAGATTCTATTATCTTAGCATTTGGGTGATTTGTAGTCACAATATCATCTAGAGCAGGCAAAGTTTCCCAAAAATTATCTTCTTTATTATTACATTGACTCTCCCCCTGAAGAGAATTTTTAAAAAAAGGTTGATTTTCAACAAAGTGAACATCCATGCTTTCAAAAAATTTCTTTGTAACTGGGTTAAAACATTTGTATCCCTTTTTATTGGAAGCATAGCCAAGAAAAACACATTTTTCGGCTTTAGGATCCAACTTAGAACGAAAAACATTGGGGATGTAAACATAACAAAGACAACCAAAAATTTTAAGGGGAAGATCCGTAATAATACGAGATGTAGGAAAATTGTTTTGTAACACTTGTACAGGACTCTCATATTGTAACACCCGAGATGGCATTCGATTGATGAGGTGACAAGCAGTTAATAAAGCATTTCCCCAAAGATACTTAGGTACATTCATAGAAAACATAATAGCTCTAGTGACTTCGAGGAGATGTCTATTTTTTCTTTCAGCAATACCATTTTGCTGCGGAGTATCGCGACAAGTGGATTGATGAATTATCCCCTTAGTTACAAGGAATGTACTTAAATATTTGTTGAAATATTCAGTGCCATTGTCAGACCTTAGAATGCCAATCTTAGTTTGAAATTGATTGTTAATCATGTTAAAAAAATCTTGAAATCTTTGTTCAACTTCTGATTTTTTCTCCATGAGATAAACCCAACACAGCCGTGTATGATCATCAATAAATGTTACAAACCATTTTTTTCCAGACATAGTTTTAATTTTTGAAGGACCCCAAACATCACTGTGAATTAAATAAAAAGGTTTAGAAGCAGAATAGGCTTTTGATTTAAAAGACACACGATGATCTTTAGCTAAGTGACAAGCTTCACAATGAAATTGTGAGGAATTTATTTCTTTGGAAAAAATAGGAAACAAATGCTTAAGATATGAAAAACTAGGGTGACCTAATCTTTTATGCCATAACATAATTTGATCTGAAACAGGAGATGCGTTTGTACTGTTTGAACCGAAAAACGCTTTATTGCCAAACTGAATTCCATCAAGGTAGTACAATCCATTCATCTCTCTAGCAGTTCCAATCGTCTTCCCCGAGTTCTGGTCCTGAAAAACACAAGTAGAGGGACGAAAAAGAACAGAACAATTAGTGTCCTTAGACAATTTATGAACAGATAGAAGATTACAAGCGAATTTAGGAACATGTAAAACAGATTGCAAAGTGATTTGCTCTGAAATTTTTATGCTGCCTTTGCCTGCAATACTTGAATAACTCCCATCAGCTATCCTAACTTTTTCAAAACCTGAACTAGGAAAATAGGTACTGAATAGATGAGAGCAATTAGTCATGTGTTCAGATGCCCCTGAATCTATTATCCAAGGGTTAGAGTGGTTGTGAGCAGATAGTGCCCAAGAATCCTTACCTGTTTGTGCCACAGTTCCAGTAGGGATATTAAGAGATGAATTGGACTTTAGAAACTTAAGAAGGTTATCCATTTGCTCCTTCGTACATGGAGACGAATCAGCCTCATTGGCCATAGGCATAGGACGATCACCAAACTTACCAGCCTTGCCATGATTTGGTCGCCCATGTAGTTTGTAGCAAGTTTCCCGAGTGTGGCGATTGCGCCCACAGTAATCGCAAAATAAATGAGTCTTGTCTCCACCTCGTTGATTATGAAGTGGTTTACGATTGACATGGGGAATTGCCAAGGCAGATCCTTCAACTGGTGGAGGGACAGCTGCTGTATTTTTTCCAAGCATCACTTGCCGACGACTCTCTTCGCGACGTACTTCTGAAAAGACTTCACCAATTGGAGGGATAGGATTTCTGCCTAGAATTCGGCCACGAACCTCATCAAAATCAACATTTAGACCCGCAAGGAACTTGAAAACACGACTAACATCCACCATCTTCTTGTAATGTTTGCTATCGGCAGGTGATTTCCACTCATACTCATTGAAAAGGTCCAAATCTTGCCAAATACGTTTGAGACAATTGAAGTATTTGGTGACTGAATCTTCACCTTGCCGAATTTCTCCCAATTTGAGAGTTAATTCGTAGATTTGGGATTGATTTTCCAAATCAGAGTACATTTGGGAGACACCTTCCCAAAGTTCTTTTGCAGTATCATAACAGAGATAATTTGCACCTATCTCTTCATCCATGGAGTTGACTAACCATGTCATGACCATGGAGTTTTCAGCATCCCATGTATCATAATCTGCACCTGCCTTGTCTGGTTGTTTTTTGTCGCCAGTAATGTAGCCAATCTTTCCTCTCCCCCTGAGATACATACGAACGGATTGCGACCATCGAAGATAATTAGCACCGTTCAGCCGAATTGTTGTGATCTGAACAGGGTGGTTTTCATGGTACGTTCGGACTAATTTAGGTTCGGGTGAGGAATGTTTGGGTGAAAGTGAGGACTCGGTATCAGACATTGTGGGATGTAAAAAAGATAAACAGAGCGGAAGCAAAAACAAAAAAAAAACCCTAAAGGATTCTTGTTGCTACTGATACCATATAGAAATATGCTTTTTCTATATTGTTTATTCTGTAACATAGTACATAAGTATTTATAGAATATAAATTACACTAAGAAATAGGGGTAATTATTCTCCCTATAAATGCTAATCCTAAATAAGGTAAGAATATAATAATACAATTAATTTCTATTTAATCACAATTTGAATCCAGCCATAATGAGCTGTATGACAAAATCTGTTTTGATTTTGTGCTAATATTCAACAGTAATGAATTTTGTTTTTTGCAGGCCCACAAGGATTCAAAGGATCCCTTTCTGATGTCTGGCTGTAAGGTTGCAGATGGCAGTGGTACTATGCTGGTAAGTTAGGCTTCATTTTTCCTTATTTTCTCTTTTAATTTTATGCTGTTCTAGTTTAATTTATGTCAGGAAGTTTTGAAAGGGTCTTTTCGGTAGTTAAGGGCATGCAATAGTTGCTTTGCTAGAAGTGTGGGTGGTAGTTTTTCCAATAGCGGAAAGTTGTGCACTAACTGGCTAAGTATTTCTGACTTGATTGTTGATTCATAACAATTTTTTCATTCATCAAATGTGAATACATTTGTAATTTTTTTTTTGTAATTGACGCAATTATTTTGCAAGGGTTTTTGGTTAGAATTTGAATTCTAATATCGAAACAATTGAGTTGTAGAGAAATTGGAGTCGGTAAAATATGATTTGATTAGTAATGAACTTCTCACAACAATTCAATAGATCTAATTGACTGTATTTATTTTCTTGTTCAATCTGTTTTGTTGATTAAAATTAACATGTTGGTGTCTTTTCCCTCACTTGTTTATATATTTTTTTGCAGGTAACAGGTGTTGGAATTAATACTGAATGGGGCCTTCTAATGGCTAGCATTTCAGAAGATACCGGTGAAGAAACACCTCTGCAGGTCTTCTTCTTTTCTGTGGTTTCTGGCTCTGTTCTTTTGTTTCTTATAATTCAATTATTCTTATAAGTTCTCATTATAGGTCCGCTTGAATGGCGTAGCCACCTTCATTGGTATTGTTGGATTCACTGTTGCTCTTATTGTCCTGGTTGTGCTACTGGCTAGGTAATTAGTGGATGGCTCGTATTTGCCATATTTTTCTTAGTTTGAATAATCAAAGGTGTTGTTTTGCATGCTTCTAAAGTGGAAACTTCTTATCAGATATTTCTCTGGGCATTCGAAGAATACTGACGGGACAAAACAATTTACAGCTGGCAAGACCTCAGTTAGTGATGCTGTTGATGGAGCAATTAAGATAGTAACTGTTGCGGTAGGTGCCTTGATAAATATTAATTTACCATGGCATGAGTGGTGCAGTTACCCATAGTTATTAGTTGACTGGCCTTCAAATTTAATATCTGTTGTTATTGTAATTTGTAACCCATTGAATATTTAGGTCACCATTGTAGTTGTTGCAGTGCCCGAGGGGCTCCCACTTGCAGTCACTTTAACGTAAGTATTATAATTCTTGTCCAAGCATCTAGTTTTTACTTCGTTTGTTGTTGTGAAGTCTTACCACTAGTCCGTGTTTAAAGTTTTACGTTAGTGCCATTGCACATAATGATAAATTTGCTATGGTTTTTGATCTTCATTATGAATTGAATTTGCTTCAGTAGGATTTTATTTTCTCGTTCTTCTAGTTCTATCAATTGTGATCCGTATTCATCTTAGAATATTAATATGCTCATTCAGATCTGTAATATATTTGTTTTCTATTCTTCTTCAATTTTCCTTTATTAAATCTTTATAATCTGTACTTACACATTTTTTCCGTCAATTTTGTTATAGTCTGGCCTACTCAATGCGGAAAATGATGGCAGATAAAGCTTTGGTATGCCAATTGATGTGTGTGCTTTGATTAGGTTTTGATATGATTATATGAGTAGTATAACACAACGAATTGTAGGTGAGGAGGCTTTCTGCATGTGAAACAATGGGCTCTGCTACAACCATATGCAGCGATAAGACTGGCACATTGACTATGAATCAGGTTGGTTGTGGTGCAGTATTGGACCATTGACTTGCATGATCACTTTTTATGACAAGTTACTTAAACTTGCCGGAGGGTACTTGTTGCAAACGTTTTTCTCTTTAGTGGCTTTCTTGCTTGGCATATTATACAATAAATCACAATAATAGAAGAGTTTTACATGTAAACTGTTGTATCAATATGATGTGATATCCAATCAAACTTTTGTTTATATCTTGAGGTAGTTCATTAATGTTGGCATTGGTTGGCACTCGGCATATACTTATGTACAGAAGGTTCTCACAGATTCTTAATTTTTATGAACTCTGACAGATGACTGTGGTTGAGGTTTATGCTGGGGGCAGTAAGATTGATCCACCTCACCAGTTGGAGAGTTCTCCTAAGCTGCGCAGTCTACTCATTGAAGGTGTTGCACAGAACAGTAATGGCAGCGTTTTTGTTCCTGAGGTATGCTTGAATTTATTCTACTGAGCTGTTCTCCTTCCAAAAAAATTATTCTTCTCAGCAGAAAGTTAGCTCGTTCAATTACTTATTGCATACTATTGTCTTGTACAGGGTGCTAATGATGTTGAGGTTTCTGGATCGCCAACTGAAAAAGCAATTTTACATTGGGCGCTGAAGGTCTGTTTTGGAAAAGCAGTTATTTCTGATTTTTTTTTCAGGGTGATTTATGTGCTTACAACTATTTGTGACTTGTACTGAATCTCAGGTTGGGATGAATTTTGTGAATGCTCGGTCAGAATCATCTATTCTTCATGTCTTTCCGTTCAACTCAGAGAAAAAGAGAGGCGGAGTTGCAATACAGACGGTACTATCTTATTGGCATTTTAATTCAAATATGTAGATATTTTACTTCCTTTGAAGCCACACTGGTGCATTAATAGGTTGCAAATTCATGCTTAAATGATTCACTATATCTGCCAAATAAAGTAGTTTTATACTTTTTTTTGCAGGCTGACTCTGTTCATATACATTGGAAAGGTGCTGCTGAGATTGTTCTAGCCTGCTGTACAGGGTATATTGATAGAAATGACCAGTTGGTGGAAATAGATGAAGAGAAGGTTTGACAAACTCATTGCATATTATTGGAACATATTTAATATTGATATTTGGTTACTGCAATTGTTTCTTTTCTCGTATTTCACAGCACCGTACATCTGTTTTTCTGTTTGGTTAGTCATTTCTACCGATTATACCAGATGCTTCTAGAAACGCTATCTGAAAACACAGCCAGTTAGTGATAGTTACATCGTATGATAGTTATCTCTAAGGCTGAACCTAGGTATATGAGTTTCTTCTCACTAAAAAGTCAGATTCAAAATACACAATAAGGATCTCCTTTTCAATTATCTATTTCTCCTACCATCATCTCAGTATGGTATCAAGAGCATTTATTTATCGAACATGGCCTCATTTTTTTTCTTTGCCAGCTTCTTCTGTATATTGAACAGCGACACCACCACCTCTGCAAGTTCCTCTAAATTTTTACTCAATGGTGGTTTTGTCTTGTATTTTCCATTCTGTTGCTTAAAATGAAGTATCATATCAAAATCATGTTTGTTACCCCTGTAATGGGCACCTCTCATCTTCTATTATTGCCAGTTCCAGAAAACAATTTCATTTTAATAACACTTTCTGTGCTGTCAAATTTAAGGACTCAAGTGAAATTCTCGTTGTGTAATTGTTAACCCGAGTGGTTTGTTTTTGTCAATCTGCTACCTTAATGTACTTCTCCCGTGCTTTCTATTGTAGTAGTTGTTGATTCATCGAAATGGTTTTCATCCGAATACAACATTATTTTTGTCTCTATCTGATAGAAATGTGATTAGAGAAGTGGGACCTAGGCCAAGGGTGTGGAGAGTTTACACGAGGAAGAAAACAAAAGGAATTAAAGATGATGACGTGGCTGTGAATGAATTAAGGGCATGAGAGTGGCTATATATAGCTACAGCTGGAAGGGAATATGGAGGACAAAATTCTGTTAGGATTTGGTGGGGTCACTTTTGGTGATTTGGGAGCACTCTGTGCTTGGGAATTGGTAGCCACTACCAGTTTGTTATTTTCTTTTTCTTCATTCCCATTTTCCTGTAGTTGTGGATCTGATAG